AGGAATGAAGCAGGTGAGGGTCTGATAGATTTTTGTGAAGCCAACAACTTATTCATAGCAAACACATTTTTCATACAGCCAGAGAAAAGGTTATACACATGGACATCACCAAATGCGCCGTCTTGAAGCCAGGGAAGGGGAGGGGCAGCCGCACACCAGATGCCCCAACCATTTCCTGAGGACGTCATCGGAGCACTCGCTGTTACACAAAAACACAAATAGATTGCATAATTGGCAGTAGAAGATGGCAAAGATCCATACTGGTGGCCAAGACTAGACCAGGTGCTGATTGTGGCACAGATCACAAACTACTCATTTGAAAAATAAAAGTAAAACTCAAAAAAGAGAACAAAACCAGTCATCATACCAAAATGTGATTTAAACAACATTTCCATAGAATTCATTGACAATATAAGGAACAGATTTGCAGTACTAAGTATAATAGATCGTGAAATGGAAGAGCTTTGACCTGAAGCCAGGGATATAATAAAAGAAAAATGCATAAATACACTTCCAGCATACAAAAGGAAACTGAAGAAACCATGGATGACAGATAAAACGCTACAAGCAATAAAGGAGAGAAGAGAAAGAAAACAAAAAGGAAATAGGAATAAACTAAGAACCATGAATGCAACAGTACAATAGCTAGTGTGTAAAGATAAGGAAAATTATTACAACAAATGTAGAGAAATAGAAGAGAGCAACAAAAAGGGAAGAACGAGAGACCTATTCTACAAGATTCGAGAAATCAAGGGAAAGTTCAAACTGAGGATCACGACACTCTACGACAATAAAAATAACATAATTCAAGACCAGGAAGGAATAAAAAGACGTTGGATGCAATACCCAGAACAACTATACAAAAGATGATAAAATGAAGGACACATGGAGTGAAGAACCATATGAAGATGAACCCCAAATTCTAAAAACTGAGATGGAAGCTGCAATTGAAGAAATGGCAAAAAGCAGGACTCCAGGAACAGATGATATACCAATAGAATTTTTGCAATCCATACTGACAGAGTCCACTCTAGTGCTAACCATCTCTACAGATATTGAATACAAAACGATGGCCAACAATTGGAAGCAATCAATATGTATCCCCATCCACAAAAAAAGAGACA